TTCGGCATTTCCAGTGTCACTAATAACTGGAGATGGAAAAGTTCTGAAAAGAGAAGCATATATCCCAAAGTGTCAGGATCATCTCCTCCAAAAACCTTGCACAGGCATGAGTATGACTGATAATCAAAAGCCAGAATGTACCCTCATGTGTGTGCTTGACTCTATAAGGACTTGAGAGGCTTTTTCCTCACACCATTTTCATCATCTCTGCTTCACTGCATTGAGGTTCAAATAATTTATCATCTGAATTTGGAAACAACAGAAAATACCCGCTGTTTTGCCTTTATCTCATTTGATAAGAATGCAGCATTATCCCAATAGGAGTTTAAGATGATAAAACATCAAATGAGATAGAAGGCAGGCTGAAATGGTTATATTGTCATTAACTTACAGCACCCTTGGCTGATACAATGTATTTGTGCTGTGCTGTAAGTCTCAAATGAACAATTTGAGAGTAAATGAATAAAAATTATATAATAGGTTAGTGGGGTGTTCATGACTCCAGATGTTACAAACTTAAAAGCTTTCACTACTCCTGTTAAAATTATTCGTGAGATAGATACTTGCTGGTTATTTTGGGAGTTTTCTTCCTTCCTTATGGTGTTAGAGTTTGTGATGAAGATAAGATCTGAAACTATGGCTGTATCAAGGTGTGCAACCTTAGCACGTAGCACTCTGTTCTGGTTGTGCTGTCAGTCAGAAGCCAAATAAATCCAGCTGACAGGGTATTAGCAGGATTCCTGCTGTTTGCAGTAAGTCTTCTCCAGGGTTGGATGAGCCAGGGAAGCAATGTTATGATGCTGACAGCTGGGTGTAGGTCCTTGCTTTGTTTAATAGTCACTGCAGAGAACACTTGAGGGTGTGTTGGAAGGCACTGTCACTCCAGTGCATTGAAAAATATTGGCAGAGCCTAGCAAGGCATCTGACCCTGATCAAATATTCCTCTTAAATTAAAAGCATATTTAGCTATTCTGCTCAGTCTGTTCCTAGGTAGCTAATAATGGACTTGGATCCTCTTGCTCTATTTTGAGGATGTCTTATTGAATCATGCATAGAATGATGTGATTAATTTGTGGAACAGAAGTCCTGTGCCTCAGCTGTTCATGGTTGTTTTCCTGGGGGGAAGATAGAAGTTTTTATATAAAAAGGCACTTATCATTCTTTTCAGCATATCAAAGAACAAATGTACCGTAGGCTTTTCTATTGAAAAAAAATAATAGAACAAATGGCTTTTATCTGTATTTTCATCATTACACCTGCATAAATCTCACTGATGCTAATGGGACTCGTAGCAATGTAGATAAAAGCCAGTCACACTTTTGAGATGAGGAGTCCAACAGAACAAGGCACACCACAGAAGTAGGGGGGTTCATCCCTGTAGGGACAACCTGCAAGTGTGTGACTCAGCCTGTTTGGAATAAACCATTGGTGTGCAAAGCCACGGCTCTCCAGATTGATGTACCCAGTCAATCTGATTAATGTAGTGGCTGTGCAAACTTACTGAATGCTCAACTTTACTGCTGCCCAGATGGATTTCTCCAGAGAAAAAAAGTCTGGTCTCTGCATCCACTCTGCCATAGGAGCACATGTGATGTCTCTCATGGAAGGGACACAGGGCAAACAAAAATCACCTCGACTCTGACTGGGAAGGAAGAGATGGGACTATGAGGGTTGAGCTAGAGCTCTGAATTGTGGGCATAATGGGAGGAAGCTGAAACCTGCAGGCTCACCTTGAAGAGTAGGAAGGGGGGTGAGGGGACAGTGCAAAAGGGTCAAAGGGGCAAACCTATGGGATGCTGTAGAGATTTAAAAAAAAAGGAAAAACCAGCTAGCAGCAGGTTCTTAAAAGTATATAGAAATACATGATGAAGGACAACATTAACTGAGAGCAATATAGTTAGTCCTCATAGCTGATGACAAATGGTAATGTCACTGTGAGCAGAAGAGGAAGGAGGTTCTGTGGGTAGACCCTAGGAACCGAGGTATGAACTGGGGCGGTCTGATAGAAAATTACTTATTTCAGTGTTGACAAGGCCACTAAATCATGCAATTTGTTTCATTTCTTGATAGTTTCTGAATGTCTACAGTACAGTTTGAGTTCTGCCCAAGTTCTATCTATGGACACTCGAAATCTGTAGACCAAAAGCAGCAGATACACTGCCACCAGCAACTACTATGACCTAGGTGAAAATAGTAGGGATTTTATTTCTTTATCTTTTATTTTGCTATTTAAAATAGTATGTGTTGAACTCATTAATAGCGTAGTATACAGATTGAATATTCAAAGCAGAGAATAAGGTTCAGAACTTATTATGGAAGGCTTGTTTGAAAGAGAAATTGGGCAAGGAATGGTTTTCATCAACCCCTTGCCTAAGATTCCACCTGTGAACGCAGTTCTTACACCTCTCTTGCTATCCAAGCTTAAGAAATGCCCTTTCACACACAAATCAGAAAGGCAGGCTTTCTGTAAGGTGATGTGGCTGCTGCTGTTTTCAGAGTATCCTTTTCGTCTTATCTGGGGCTCTGTGACATTACCTTTACTGTCCCACAGCCTCTTTATGTCTGCCAAAAATTTCTTTCTTGAAACAAAGAGCATGTTTGTGACATGTGCTTCTGAAAAGGCACTGTGTTGTCATCTGATATAGTTAGATATTCTCAAGTCCACAGAAACAAAAGGCAAGTTGTCTTTTCATCACAGGATATTCATAGTAAATAGAAAAATAAAAATCTTAGCAGTCCTTACTGCCCAAAGCATGTTTATAAACAGGACTCCTAAGTGCATACAAGTAAACTTCAGAGGGATTAAAGAAGTGTGGTTGAAGTGTTAGTAATTCTACTTTTAGAGCATCTGCCAAGAGTACAACAGGAAAGCCTGGCAGTGTATCCCTGTTGATCTGGTAGGACAGTGACCACACAATTTAGAGTGATTCAGTAGAACTTTCTTGTAAGCAGATTAGTTCGTCCCTGGGTTGACTGAAGAAGATAAAAGATGATTTACTTACAGGAATGTAAGTGCAAGCCTTTAAATAAAAAAGAACTACTATTGACTTTTAAAACTGAGTCACCAGCACTGATGAATTTTTGAAGTCAATTTGCCATCATTTAATACTATTTTAGAATAACTGTTAGTGCCTAGCCTTTTTATTTCTGCCAATAAACTGCATAAGAGATACTGAAGCAGGGCTGAACACCATGGAGACACAATTTTTTTCAGTGTTGCATTGTGACATACTCATGATCTTTTTTCCTTTGCTTCCTTAACTTCTTTTTTTTTAACTTCCTTATTTCATTTCTGTTCAGTGTGTGTGTTCATTTTAGTGATAGTGTAGTTCATTGTGGAAGTTATTTAATGTTCACTTGTGAATACTAGTCCAAGGCAGCTAGCAGGATTAATGTCTTAATAGCCACCTAGCCATCATGCTTCTCATGTCAGCTGTAGAATACAAGAGTTATATTGGAAGTACTTAGATAAATCTATTTCATCAAAATGGCTATGTACTTTCACTTTGTCAAAATGCCTGCGTGTTGGCTTTCTTTGCTGCTTAAATGCTGTTCTATCTGTTCCTAACTTCCCCTGTTTAACAGCAGACAAACCCAGGGAGCACTGAATGAATCGGATGATCCCGAAACAGGCTGTCTAACTGATAACAAGCCAACTTCTCGACACTTCTATCCTGTCGCCTTGCTGCTTGTCAGCTCACACTTGCTGGTTGTGTGGCTTATTTTAAGTCTTGCTTTGCTATTAGCCAAATATCAATAAACTTCACTTGTGTTCCTTTCTTTTCTACAAACAGCAACAAACTAACTCTAGAAAAAAGGAATTATGTTGTAATATTTCTACAGTCTCAGACCCCAAGGATTCATCTTTAAGATACCAATGTCTGAAATGTACTGTGTTTTCATTCTTTTTTTCTGAACTCCGACAAGTATACTATGCATTGGGTGAATTGGTTTGCTCTTTCTGTTCATGGTAAAGCTTTCCCACTGTAATTAGTGCAAAGAAAGCCCACTTACAATGCTGTCACTGTATAGAAGTCGTGGAATCCTGAATGCTTGAACCCCTCTTTCCAGAGTAATTAGTCTGACAAAAAAAAAAAAAAAAAGTTAAAAACTAATTTGCACAACACAAACTAACCCCTAGACAAATATGGCAGGGCAATGGTTTGTGAGACTTATCTTTCGTTGTGTTTTTTTCATTGTTACTAGCTGATGGGATTGTTTTCGTTTAATAAATGATTATTACTTTGCTACAACTAACCCTCTTCTGTAGAGTAACTAAATGGAATAGAATAAGTTCTGTTTTGTAATGAAATTAACCTGTTTGTAATTGTTGCTTTAGTTGCTTTTGCTTTCAAGACACTTTTATATTCTTTTTAACAAAGTCTTGTTTATGTCTTGATGCACCACTTTGGCACTTGTGACTTTTGTACTGTATGTGAACAAACATCCTTCCTTTATAAAGCAGAGAGGTGGATTGGGCTGTTTGAAAAGCCATTCTCTCTTTTTTCATTGCAAAGCTGAACATACAGGAAATGAAGCAGAGATGAAACTTTCCTTCACAAATCTCTAGGGCCAGACTTAATAAAATGCCTTATTCCTAGAATGCGCATTTTAGGGCAATGTATATTCGCACATATATAGCAAACAAATTGAAAAAAAAAAAAGCTATGAAAAGATTTAAAAGGCAAATATATTTCTGGAATTAGAACAAAAGGTATCATTAAAGTATTTAATTTTTTTTACTGAACTTTAAACCTCAAGGGCAGATATATTAGGGGGGATGGAAAATCTTATCACCTATTTCTGAGGGCAATAACTGTACTGGGCCTGGCCTTGGATTTAATTTTGTAAGATGTATCATCACTCGTGGAAAACAAAAATGTAGAGTTGAATCTTTGTTATTTTTACTTCAACTGTTGCTGAAACTCTGCAATGAACAAATAAAGCATATTTATTTATTCTGTGTTTCATGAAGTTGTACTTTTTCCCCCTTTCACTAGAGAAGGATGCCGCATAGAGAATGTTCTGAAGAATGTCAAATGCAGAAAGTATGCATTCAACATGATACAGCTGATGGCTTTCCCAAAGTACTACAGACCTCCAGAGGGGACATATGGAAAAGCTGACACCTAAGTTTAACAAAAATGTGATCAGGAGCATACATCATGCTAATTAGTGAATATAACAACTGCTGTTTATGACGTATGAATTGGGAATGTATAACCAGTGGAGGTGTTACTTTTATCAGGTTTTATTATTTTATATTAAAATTAATCTGGTTAGTCATTATGAAATAAATACCATGAAAATCAATGGACTGGTTATTCTGAAAATCAAATATATTCAACTTACCTTTGTGAAGTTGAAGCTTAGTATGGCTCAAAAGGCAGCTGGAATTAGTTTTTGGGGTCATTTGATTGAAGATTAAAAAGGGAAATGGCATTTGCTGTAGGAACAGAGATTAGTAATCTGGAAGGTGGCATTCTAACTCCAAACCAAATCATAAGATTTGATTTAAGGAGTCTCTCACTGCTGGAAAAGGTGTTTTCTGGAACCAGCAGAGCACTGAGCTCTTGATCACTAATGATTAAACCTGTTGCAGAAATGTTTATGAAAGACGCTAATGTTAATACCTGGGCTAAATATAATTTTGGTAATTACAATTAGCTTCTTTACATAAGCATGGTAACTTCATAATATGTTTTTAGTAATTGCAGACTGTAATTTCAGCAATTCCATTCTGATTTCCTGCAGTTCATTTGGATGTATCACTCTTGGTTTTCTGTACCCTAGCCAAATACCACTTATTTCACTTCCACATAAATGACATTGAAATCATGGAGATTAATTCCACAAGTAAAGTGACCTGAATTTGACCTCCTATTTAGTATAAACCCTTAAAAGTAAATTTTCTTTAGTGGTAGGGAAAATAAGTTGTATATACAGGATTTAATGTATCTTTAGGCCATGAAAACATGTATGTTATTACAAAGCCTAAAATAAATGTTACGAGTAAACTGCTGTACTAGGATTAGTTAGCCACTGCAGCTGATGTATTTCAAATTTGTAATGCTGCAGGTAGACACTCTGGGATGAAGAACTATCAGCTTTAAAAATGAATGTTAATGCTCTGCCAGCTTGTGTTAGTCATGAAATTTATCTTGCAAAGAACGTTTGTGTTTTCTAATTGTATCTATTTATTACCTTCTTCTGCCTCTCAGAGAGAAATACAATTTTTAGCTCCCAAGTATTCACTGGTTACTGACCTTTATGTAATGCATTCTTTTCATATCTAGAGCAGAAGTATGAGAAATTTATCTTAATGAAACTACCCTGGGAATTTGAGCATCTGTAGGAAATTGTAATTGCCATGGATAAGGAGTAAATGTTTGCTTACTCCTATGGAAGTCAAAGAAATCTCTATGCACAATGAGTTATAATTTGTTCTTTTTAATCCATTAATACCCATTACTTAGTATAAATCTGTAACTATAATGGAATTTAAGAGCCTGATTTTGCAAATTCTATTTGGGCAATCCCATGGAACTGATCTGTCATTTGGCTAAAATTAAATCCATCTTGTATATTTTCTCCAAGATCAGGCTGTGGAGTTCATAGGAAAACATCAGAAAGAGATCCTTGTTCTAATATTCATTGACTTCAGTGGAGCCATAAATTCACCTGTACAATATATTAACTAATTGGAACTTTTTTTCAAAGAAAAGTAGGTAACATAAGTAGTGTTTTGGTGCATTAGTTTTTTATTTCCATTATATAATGTGCTATCAATAATTGTTTAATGATAGCACATTGTTTAATGGCTTCCTTGTTTGTGGAATGTATTACTTCAGTAGATGTCAGAAGAGTTGGCAATGCATCACAGATAAGCTCAGACTGATGAGAACATAATGCCTTGATTTTTTTCTTGTCATGTACCAGTAGAAGTGGACAATACTCGTTGGGTGGCTGGATATGTGCATAAATTAGTGTTTGGTTCTATGAATATAATGTAGCTGATCTGTATGAAATTTTTTTTTGGATTTATGGAGCATAATTCTTCATAGAAAAGTAATGTTTTCTTTGTCAGGCTGCTGCACTAGCCCTCACTATATACATGTTTATTATTAGCTTAGAAAGCCTTGCATGTGCAGTTTAGAGATAGTGATGTATTTCTCATGGATCTCTGAAATAACTCCCAGGTATGCAGTGGAGAATGCCAACCATCATACAGTAATTCTGAAACTATCTGTAAAAATCTCAGTGGGGGTGGTGTTCCCTGCTGGGTGCTATGGGTACTTAGACTTCTTTATCTGGGTCCCGTTGACATTCTGTCAAGTTAAAAATATGAAATTATCTAGGTTTTCTTGTCAGGAAAATAGTCTTTCAAGATTCTGCTGCAGCATTTTAATGCTACCTGGGCTCTAAATTGCCATTGTCACTACCGTGTTATTTTTGTGTTGAAGTTGTTTTTCACATTGAAGCCAAGGATTTGATGAGGAAAAAGAAAAAAATGGCACTGGATTACTGTCCTTTTTGTTTTAACAGCCATTCACAGTATGTTCTTGTGAAATTAAATAATCTCTTATTTGCTAAAGATCATTAAGACAAAACCCCAAAGACATCAGTGGGCTGCAGTGAAATTTCATTGTGCTTGGGCCATTAGAGAAGAGTTGGTGGGTCTTGTGCTAAATAATACTGAAATTTTTGAAGATAATTTTTGGACTGGAACATCTTGTAGGTCAGGAGGGCTTTGTAAAACCTGCTGAAGTGCTCCAAGTCTCCTGGAAAAGCCTCGTTGCTTCAGTACCAAAACAGGCCCAAATCATTCAAAATCCATGGCTTTTCTGGTTTGTCTTTTATGAAGAAACAAAGAGGGGTTTGCTGCAGGTTGATGCTTGTGTTACTTGGAGTACATTTACTCTTTGTAGCAGCTGCTTCCAGCCTTGTGGGTTGTTTGAATATTTAACAGAGGAGTTAAATCATCCCTGGGGTCTTGCACATTATCTTGTAGCTCACTGGGGATATCAGAGGAGCAAAACTAAACTACTTAATTTTTATAATCAAATTACATTCTTTGTTTTGCAGAGTGATAAGGTAAGCATAGCGATTTTGGTGGTGGCTTCACAAAAACTGTTCCATACATGCTCTCTTATAACTCTTGTAAGGTATAAAATAACCTGCTTTTAGGGGAGGGCAGTTCTCAAGGGTTAAAAGATGAAAATTAAAAAATACATCTGGCATCTAAAGCCAAATCTTGTCTTACAGAAGATATTATCTTGTACAAATCAAATCAGGATCTGTCTTGAGGAATCCTGAAATAAGGGCTTCTAGCTTTCAATATTTGTACAATGCATCACATACTTACATAGGGGTTTTGTACCACAGAGTAGTGTCTAAATAGAGAGCTAGTCTAAAATGCCTAAAAAATAAGGAAGGAATGTTAAAATAATTTTTTCCCAGAAATGTTTGTAATATTGTTATAATACATAACATGTCTATAACTGACATTAAGCAGGCAGGTCTTTTTTTCTGAAGGCTTTCAAGGAATTTAAAATACATTATGGTTAATGTTTATACTTTGGCTTTTATGGAGCAATTAGGAATCAAAACATTTTAATTATGTTATCTGATTTTTGTCTATGTGAAGCTGTGTATTTTAATGGAATCTTAGCAATGTCTGTGTTATAAAGAAATAATAATTTAGGAGGACAACTGAAACAAAATATTAATTGAGAAATAGCCTTAATAAAGGCTTGCCATGTTAATTTTTGTACTGTCTGAATATTGCCATTACATAAATGAAATGAGGGAAGTAACAAACAATTTTGTGTCTACATCAGTCTCTCCTGATGAAAATTCACTTAATTGCGGTGGAATAAATTGTAGTGGTATTCTAAAACTTCACTAGTAATTTAGGTATAAAAAAGTGCAACACTTCATTTTGAAGCCTACTTTAAAATATGCCTGTTAAAAGTTTCAGGAAAAACTTATTTTTATTTCTAGATTAAACACAAGTTCCAAGAAATCCTATGGTCCATTTTTAAAAAAAGCAGAAAATGCACTGAACGTCAACCAGTGTCATAAAAAAGCAATTGAATTGAAAACTATGCAGCAAAATTACTTGTGTGAATTAATGTATGTAATCAGTTAACAGTCTTAAACATATATTGTGTCAGTTGTTTATGTTGTAAACTTGAAACCATTGATCTCTATATTTATGCTCTTATTTTATTATAAAGAAGTGTACTGTATAGGCAATGCCATGAGACATGAATTTGCATCTTGCTTTTCACTTCCTTGCAGCTTAAAAGCAGATGTTTACAATGGAAATGCTTTAAAATAATTTGCTGCTCTTGAGAACACAAACTTATCTTGCATATTGCATGTTTACAAAAAAGATCATAGAAATGCTTTTTTAGAGGGAAAAAAGACTTCACAGACTTCAGTCCTTAAAACATTGCTTTTTCCCTTAGTCATGCAACAGCTCGACTGTTGGGTTGCCAAGAATTCAGCTTGAACTCTACAGGACTCAAACATTTATTTCCTCTTTTTTTCATAGCATCTGCTGAATAAGTAATATAACAACCATGACTATCAGCATGATACCCATGATCCAAGGTGAAAAACTTGCATTTGCTCAGATATGAGCAATACTTCAGGGTAAATAAACTATAAGACACTTGTGAACGAACCGGTGTCTCCCTGTTCCAAAGAGCTGAATCATGAGGCACAGGATTTGTGTGCTGATTGGGAAAAAGAGTTACAGTGCGAGTCTGACTATGATAAAAGAGTGCCCTGGATGGGTTCAGAGTGGTGAGATTTGAACCACGCTGCTCTTACTTAGACCTCTGACTGTTGGCAGTGGTTTTTGGTTACTCTTCCCACGCATGCAAAATGCTTTAAAAGTTTTCAGCACTTCTGTTTATGAATGGTCTGACTTTAAAACTTCTAAAATCCCAAATTACTTTGGTACTTGTTCTCCTTTTGTGTCACTGTCCCTTATGATGTTCCTGTCTTACATTTTAGAGCACACAGGGCTGTGTATAAGTAACCTTAACAGGACTTCAGTCCATGGCATATGTTTGTCCAGAGAAACAAAGCACAACTATAGGAATTCAATGTTTTTTATATTTCAGGATTTATCATTTTTGTTTCCTTGCTGTCTGTAAGCCATGACCATTGTACACCATGTGTATATTTTTATTTAAATAAATGTAATGTTTATTTTTTATGTTTCTGACTTTTTTTTTGTTATTCATTTTTCATTGTCATTGCAATGGTGTTGCCCTGAGGGAGGATTATCCATGCTGATGAGATTATGTTCCCTCCTAAAGGAGTTGGTAGGAAGCACACTCACATCACTACTAGGAGCAAGGATTTAAGACAAGTTCTGATACAACAGTTAAAAGCCTGCAATGGGCAAAACTTAATAGTTCCTATTCTTCTTAGTCTTACCACAACTTTCATCTCAGAACCAGATGGATCATGCATTTTCTAGTTCAAAGCAAACAAAACATGCACATGCCCATAAGGAAATCCCTTTCACATAACTGTTGATCTGTAATTCAGGTGGGATCAACAGCTTTCAAAATGAAGACTTTTAAAAAGGTGACATGTCGTGCTTTGTCTGGCATTACATCTTCACCATCTCAGTGACAGACCTCGGGAAATAAGTATGGGTTGCTTCTGTGCTGGTTTTTTGAGCTGCTGTTGGTATTTAGATTTATTACATGATCTGTCACCACAATGAAAGGTAAGTTCCCCATGGCTGGCTGAAATGTACCAAAGAAATCTTTTCGGATACATGATAAAATGTGGCTCATCTGTACTGTCAGCACTGTGAGTAGAAGGTTAGTGCATAATTTAGTATCTCTGTTTATATATTAGCATTTTTAGTTTTACTGAGATATATTTAGTGAGATTTTAATTACTTGCAAAGTTCTTGATAACCTTTAGAAAACACTGGAAATTAGTGATTCTTATGGAAATAACTCTAAAAGTTAACAGGAGCCTAGGAGTTTTGTCTCTTACTAATAAAGGTGAAAGTCTTTTAAAATTACTTTGTCTCACTTTGCATCTTTATGGCTTTTATCTTCCATGTCAACTGAGAGTCACTTTCTTCTCAGGGCAATGTAATAGAGAAAAAGAGAAAGAACCTACAGCTGTAATGAGATAATAGAATAATATGACAATAAAAATATGTTTTTACCAATTCCCTTTCCAATGTTTCTTCAGGGCACGCTTGTGTACATGACCTGATATTTCTGAACCACAGTTTGCAGTGTTCTGAACTGGGCTGACCATTGCTGCCACTAAGAGAATGTGTAACCAAATGCTACTTCTGCTAGGCATGAGCTTTCCTGTGAGTTTAGTGATGAATCCTGTACAAATCACAGCCTTCAGTAGGTATGTGACAGATGCTGTTTATGGGGTTAAGGACAAGAAGGTTCTAGATGCAAACTAGACTGGTGTGCTGCTTGCTCTGCCCAACTAAACAGACCCTTTGCATTTCTGTGTAGGATGTCTGTGCCCAGTCCTGACCCAGTACGAAAATGAGAAGTACACTTGCTCTGCTGCAGGCAAAATTCTTGACACTATTAGAGGAGTGGATGTTATCTGCTTCTAAATAACATGGGATAAGTTGAATTGAAATATGTTTTCCATGTGGTTTTTTACATGAATATGCATACATATTATATTTACATTTAAAATTTTTTATGTGTTATAGGATAGAAAAAGGCAGTGACATATGATCAGTTGAAAAACGGAACTTGTGATATTTCTAGCAGTCAAATACAGTTTTGCAATTGGAAGTGTGGCTCCAAGGAGTCTCACATGAACAAAGCTTTAGCTTGTAGCATGCCTGGTGGCATGTGCTGACTCTAATGGTAAGTTGTTTCTGGGGAAAAAACAGAGAGAAATGGGAAAGAGAAGGTGTTTCCCAGACTGGAGTCTGCCATTCCTGTCAGGACTTTGAAGATCTCAAGCCCTGGCTGGCTGTTGTCTCTCATAACTCTGTCGTCGCTAACTGCAGTGGGGCTCGGTCAGCGCAGCTCTCTCTGCTGACAGGTTGTGAGCTTGGTGTGCACGTGTCTTGGAGCCTTTCATGAAAACAAAAGGCTTCAGCTGGGGGATAGGAAGGGGAGGAAGGAAGGGGCTAATTCTGTCCCAATAACAATCACTTTCCTAAGTGTCTGCCCCAGCAGTACCAGATCACAGGCACAAGGCTGGGAGAGTAACAGCAGAACAAGGAAAGAACACTGCTGTCTTTCCCCAGTAAAGTCTACGTGTGATATCCGTTTTTCAAGGAACAATAATTTTGATTGCTGCAATTTACAGGACTGCTGACTTGAACAGAATTAGAACAAGTGTCATAGATAAGCAGAACACAATTCATCCCTTGGGTGATACCTTTTATCAGAAGTTTCCTTTTAGAGGCAGAAAAGTTTAAGGTCAGGTCCTAAAGTCGTTATTCACAAGCAAAGAATCAGAAATGGAGCACTTCAGGTGAGAAACTCCAAGGATCAGGTTTTGTGAGAGGTTTCAGAATCATTAACATTCCTGAACTTCGGTTCAGCTGCAAAAAACCTTTTGTTTGTACAAGGCCCCACACAGGAAGAACTTATTCATGGTCATGGCAAGGAACTTGATGGCAGTTTCCTGTAAATTATTAAAATAAGTAGCTGATGCTAATGAACTTGCACACAGAAGGATATATATGCCATCAGCACACTCTCTTTAGAAGGACTTTTTAAGCAGAGTAAAATATTATAAAGCATCTGAATGGGATCTGGTTTTGTTGGTAAGATGTAGGGCACTTATGAGCATTTAAAAAACATCACATAAATAGGAGCTTAAGTTTGGTTTCTAACTTAAATCTAGTTAGGTTCTCAATACTCTCTATTTGATTTTTTTTCTCACTGATATGAAATATTACAGTCTGGCACTTTGCTATTTTTCAAACAAGACCAGGGTACCAGGAAATAGTGACAAGGTGGTGTCAAATGATGTATATGAATAGAGTCATCTGACTTGATTCTGTTTGCAGATTGAAACCCAAAGTCTTTGTGGCAAAGATGAGACTGATGTTACTGTGGTTAACATCAGGACTTGTTTCCAGCAGCCAAATTCTGCTGCCTGCTCTGTAATATGGCATCTCTCAGCCAGGCTCAACTTGAATGCAGTAATCCCAAAAGAAACTTCTCAATAAATCCCAGCCTTCTTACCACTCAGCAACATTAATTATGTTCCAGTAATGGGGATTAATGGGCAAGCACAACTGTCCCACACCACCCCATCACTGCATCATGGCAATGGGTTCTCTTTTCAGACAGCAGCTGTGTTGTGGTGGTTTATGTGAGGGAATTCAGAGTTCACCTCCTTTGATATATGTGAAACACCCGGCAGATAAATATATAATAAAAAATAAGAACACATGTAATAAAATCAGAGAGCAAAGAGATCTACAGACTAGATGAGGAAGGTTATGTCTCAGCTCTACATTTTAGACTTCATTCAACTTTTGTCTTCACCTGAGATGTTCTTGGAGTTGGAAGATTCTGCTGCTTTGTGACGGTGGTAGCAGCTACAATGAACATAGACTACAGGATTATCAACAAAAATATTAAAAATAACCTTGAACAAATAACAGGATTGTTGTAAGGGCTATTGCTGATTGGCCAAACAGGTATTGTGCACAAATATGCTCGTACAGGCAAAATTATTTTGAGGGAAAAATGATTGCACCACTTTGTGCATTCTCCTAACAGCAAGGGACAAGGACAGTGCTCAGCTGAGAAGGTAAGGAGTGCAAGAATGCATCAAGCCAATCTCCTTTATGGTTGATGAAAATTGTCATCACTTCCAAAGATGACAAAACATTTTAGCGGTTGATTGCAAGTCCTGATATAAATAGAAAACACTTGCTTGTAAGTACTTTCAGTTAAGTTTAAATAAGTTGTTTACACCGTTCCACAGGAATATTTGATACAAACCAAGGTAATTTTCAGCGTGAATTAAAAACAACCTCCAAACTCACTAAACAACATTAGCTGATATAAATCAATACTTTTAGTGGCTACCTTTACTCCTTATGATACACCACCTCCGTGTTTTGTTGAAAGAGAGAATTATTTAAAATTTTTAAAATCAAGGTTTTTACTTTTTCAATATCGGTATGGGAAATAGAGGCACTCATTTAATGAGTGGGAAGTCATAGCTATTAGCAGGTTTTTTTCTGTTTGAATCCAGTTAGTGTGCTTAGCTATAAAATGCTGAATAAGAGTTTAAAAACCAAAAAAGTGGAGCACCCAGTTTATATTCATGTATTCGTGGGAGTAGTTAATGGACATCAGCAGGGGAAATGTGATCCCACACTTTTTAAAAATCAACAGAAAAGCAGTGCACACCATGCAATTCCCTTTTGCATTAAACTTATTAAGTCAAATCAATTTTTACGAGCACATAGGCTAGAGTTCTGCCACTTAATTCCTTTTGATCTTCTGCCTGCTAAATTCTGCTTCCCACTGTGCTACCATGCAGTTTATTTTTAACAGATAATTTGTTTGGACACCATTAAAATGAAAATATTACAACTTTTAGCACTACTAAGGCATTGAAATGCCTGTCAAGTTATTAACTGTCGGCACATGCACACAAATAGCCATTTGCACAAGGCGAAGTTGTAGACTTAAGAAAATGCCACTGTTCTGTTCAAGATCATGAAGCACACAAAATACAGGATTCTGACTTTTGCAAATCAAGCATTACAAATTACTCCCACTAATTTCTGTGCTTGAGGTGCAGCTTCTAGCTCCCATGGTTGTTAGGTGTCTGGAGAAGGAGACTGCTATGATGTGACAGGTTTTAAATGGAAGATTTTGGGGCTGAGTAATGGATTTTTCTTTTAATTGCAATATGACGTTAATTTAAAACTCTTTCCTATGATTAGTGTTCTGAAAGGCTTATTTCTTAACTATGGATTATTTTTTCAGCTGAGCACTATTTAGTGTTAGTATAAGGTGTTTTCTTTACAAGAAATGCACATCTTTGGCATGAGGGTTTTCATTCTCCTTACATCTTTCTGTGAGGAGCAACATAAAATGTTTTAAATATTTCAATATTGATCATGCTGTGATTATACTAGTTTCTTTTTTTTCTTTCTTAGAAGACTAGTAGTTCACTGACATTCAGTGAAGGGCCTACAGACAGATCTTACCCCCAGCTGTGCTC